AATTATGGATGCAAGTAATAAGATCTTAGTATCAACACCGCGATATAGGAAAACTGAGTGGATTACTGATGAAATCTTAAATTTGATGGATTTAAGACGTGAAAATAAATTAAAAAAAAGAAAAGTATGATTCAATACAGCTTTCGATACGGAAGAAAATAAGACAGGCAAAAGAAAAGTGGTATGGTGATCTTTGTTCAGAGATTGAAGAATTGGACAAAAAGTTTGACTATTTTAATATGCATAAGAAGATTAAAGAGGTTATATCCCCTAAACATCAAGGACGCACACAAACAACTCTTCTTAATAAAGATGGCAAATATGCCTCTTGCACAGATGACATGTTGATAACTTGGTAGCAATATGTAACTGAACTCTTCTGTGACACTCGGTCTGATCCTGTTGATTTCATTTGCGAAGACACGGGACCTGCCATTACAAGGAGTGAGGTCTATTACGCCATCAGAAATGCAAAAACAAGGAAAGCTGTTGGTCCCGATGACATACCAGTCGAGGTAATTAAAGTGATTGAGGAGTATAATCTGGATTATCTTGTTAGCCTCTTCAACGCTATTTACAACTCCGGCACGATTCCATCCGACTGGCTCAAATCGACATTCATCACCTTACCCAAGCTCAGGAATCCTAAAAAATGCAGTGATTATCGTACCATTTCGCTCATGAGTCATGTTTTGAAGCTGTTCTTAAAGATAATCTATAATAGAATTTACTCAAAATGTGAGTCCGTACTATAATATACTCAGTTTGGTTTTAGAAGCGGTTATTGAACTAGAGACGCAGTTTTTGGCTATCAAGTGCTAGTACAAAGGTGTTGGGATATGAATAAAGATCTGTTTGTCTGCTTTATTGACTATGAAAAAGCCTTCGACCGCGTTCAACATGGCAAGTTGATTGAAATACTTCAGAAAATTGGCTTAGACTTCAACGACCGCCGATTCATAAAAAACTTATACTGGAGCCAGGGTGCAAATATAAGGGTCAACGGGAAATCATCGTCATACATTGACATAAAAAGAGGCGTACGACAAGGATGTATTTTGTCACCCTTACTGTTTAATTTGTATGCTGAAGCCATATTTTCAGAGGCACTAGATAACAGTCCAGACGGCATACCAATTAACGGCAAATTGTTAAGCAACATTAGGTACGCAAACGACACTATATTAATCGCCGATAGTCTTGTGGGTCTTCAAAGGTTAGTAGATTCAGTGGCTTCCGTTAGTGTTGAATACGGTATAAACATCAATGCCAAGAAGACGAAGTACATGGTAATAAGCCGAAAACCTGAGCTTATCACGTCTTTATCCCTAAATGGTCAGGGTCTTGAACGGGTCACCAAATTCAAATATCTAGGCACAATGGTTGACGAAACAGGAGATCAGAGCCTCGAAATACGATGCAGAATAGAGCAGGCAAGCAACACCTTTTCGAGAATGAAGAAAGTTCTTTGTGACCGGAACCTAAGTATTTCTCTTCGAACACGCATAGCGCGGTGCTATGTCTTTTCTGTACTTCTCTATGGTGTAGAAGCTTGGACGCTGACAGAAGCCATGTCTAACAAACTGGAAGCGTTTGAGATGTGGGTGTACAGACGTATGCTAAGAATTTCTTGGAGAGACCGCGTACGAAACACCACCGTGCTACAAAGAATGGGGAAGGTCACAGAGATACTTACAACCATAAAGAGGAGGAAATTGGAATATTTTGGGCACGTGATGCGTAACACCAAAAAATATGAACTCCTTCAACTTATCATTCAGGGGAAAGTGGCAAGCAGAAGGAGGCCTGGCCGCAGAAGGATATCGTGGCTGAAGAACTTGCGCCAGTGGTTCGGGAAGAGCACAAGATCACTGTTTAGAGCAGCGGTCTCAAAAGTTGAAATCGCCCTAATGATTGCCAACCTTCGCAAGGAGACGGCACCTTAAGAAGAATAACAGACTTTGGAACATTATGTCAATTTTATTTTTCAAGACATCCTTTAGCAGCACTTCAAATTGGTACAGTTATTTTCTATGGTATAGCCAGGCCAGCGTACTTGTGTGTATAGAAGTCAGTGGTACAAGTAGATGAAGTTAGTTGAATAATGTACAAATTTTCATTTCATTTATGAGAAAACATGCTCCGTAATTTTATAATTTTTGACAAAAAGAAACATTAAAAAATGGAGAAATATTTTATTGTGCGTGGATGTGTAATTGGTTTAGCATCTGGTCGGAAAAATAGACTCAAAATGACTTTTATTGACCGAACCTCGAGCGATCGCAGCGCCTCACTTATGGTGTCCATATTTCTGGATGCTATTTTCTACGGTGATCGTTCTCCTGTTCTCTAACCTTCATGCGTCGTACACTACGTTGAACGATACGCGTAAGCGCCATGAAATCCCTGGCGCTTATGACGCTTTGGTCGCGAGAAAACTAATATTCCTAATACAAACCAGCGCTGCATGTTTTAATAGTTTGGTTGGACGACGTAACTAGTATTTTAGCGCTGCAGTGAACTTTAGTTGTAACTCTTACCAATATGAAGCAAACTTTTGGTTTGGGATGTTTCTTCTATACGTTAGTAATATAGTTCGATGGCGTAGACAGAAAAACCTATAGACTAATAATTAGCGTGGCCTCGATTGAGAAAGGACGATAACGTAATTTTAGGTTATGCAATAATCTTTATGACTTTAAAACATATTTAGATAAAAAATTTAATTGTTCTAAGAACTGAACTGAACAAGATTCAACAATCTTAAGCCCACAAAACACTTTCTTTCTCACTTAAACCAACTTGTAAACTCATTAGATCGCTACGAAGTGTCAAAGTTGTTTAGCAATGTGTAGTTTGCTAAACAAAAAACCTGCACGGAGAAAGGGACAAACAATCACACCGCTCTGTGTCATTTCTATGCAAGACGTATGCATAAACCTATCTTTTTCGTTGCGAATGCGAAAGAAGGCGTCAATTTGTCTATAGGTTTCTCTGTCTACGTTCGATGGTTTTTCGATGACGTTTGTGCATTATGAATTAAAACAAAATAAAACTTCATTTTACTTAAATGACTTTATTAAAATATTCATTTATTCTTATAACATTCATAATATCACTGCAACAAAAATACAATGAAATATTATAAACATTTGCCTAATTGCTTCGAAACTACAAGTAAATAATTCATGTATATATTGCAAAAATATTCAAAAATGTGTTTATTGCATTTTTATTGAATAGAAATATGAATGGACTTACAATTTAATACTTTTAAAGTTCCCAAGTATGAGAGGGATATATATAAATAATATTAACTGGCAATTAGGTCACTGATTAAAAATTAAGCTTGCGCTCACTATCACGCACTCTCACTCGTTATAAACAAGCTTATCGATAATGACAAAGAAATACAACATAAAAAGTGACAAAATTGGCATTTAGGTTAACTTCAACCTTAAAATAAAAGTTAAAAAATTTTTGGAAGTATTTAGTGGCGGTAAAATAAGTGTTAATTAATAACCGTACCTATAATTTTGATATTTTTTCATGCTTTTTCTTGTTGTAAATTATAGTAGCATGAAGTTATTGTCAAATTACGTTTGTAATTAATAATTAAATTAAAACTTATATGACATTTAATGATTAATGTACGAATTAAATGTTTAAAAAGGGATGTTTTCTTTTCGTAAAAATTTGTGCATTCAATTTGATTTTGAAAGATTTACTTTTAATTAACTAATATTAAATTATTTTATGAATAATATTCTTAAAATAGTTATGCCAAAAATGTCTTAATGTTAGATATTCTTAATTATTTTAATCGTTTTTTGATGAATAATCGAAGCTAAACAAAACACTAAATAGTTATTGGATAAATAAATACCTATATCTTGTTTGAAATGACTAAAATGAATGATATAGAAATGGTACATACAATGTATTTCATAAAACCTACTAAAATCTATAAAAAAAATGCTTCATTATCAATGGTATGTACATATTATGTCATTATTTATTGTCAATAATTTTAAGAAACAAGTACAAATAGTAGATAATATTGAGATCACTAAATAACTTTCGAAATTAGACGAAAACATAAACAAGCATTTTTGTCATAAATAGCAACGCTTCAGAAACTTGTGTAACTCAAATACTCTCTAGCCATATTCAAATAAATTAGATTAAAACTCACGAGCACACTTCCACACAAGCCTTAAAAAAGCTTTAATTGATACTTGTTTACACATAGTCTTTAATATTTATATTACTAAGCAAAGTTTGAACATGGATAAATAATAAATAAAACCAAAAAATGCTAGTATAGAAAGTAATTTATGTTGCTTTCATGCAAATATGAATTCATTATGCTGAAGCAACAGACCAAAATATACAATTTGAATTGGAAAACAATTGACAATAATACATTGACAAACCTGCATACATTATTCCTAATTGGCTTACATAGAAGAAAATAAAAAATATATAGACCATCTTTAACATCCAATATTAACCACTCTAAAAGAGCACCGGTTTATATGTATTCATTATTTTTAACACATTTATTGAAAGGCAGTAAGGGTCAGTGAATGCTGGTGAATTCTTATAAAACTTTCTTAAACACTTCTAACAAATGCATAAATGGAAGAATAACCGTCATTTTAATACAATCGCTGATGTTTTATGGCATCTTATAAATTAAGAGCCCAATGCACAGCAAGATTTAACAAGATATGCTTTTGAAGGCAAAATCTGTTTTTTTTTAAGTGCCCTGTCACTAATTCAACAGAGTCTTTGCTAATCGCCTTCTACACATCAAATAGTATTCAATTCTTCTAGAGTGATGATAAAGTTGGTCTGTCACTGAAGATTTTTTTATTATTTTAAAATTTTTTATAACTTTTTTTTGTAAATTTTCACTATTCCCCTGTCGCTAGAAGACTGAAGACGCGATCTAATCTGTACCGTGCGATCTTAGGCTTTTCATATTAAATATTAGGTTATCGCTTGATCTGGTTTGATATCTTGAGAAACTCCAAGAAACCGGCCTGCATCTCTGCATCCATGCCTGTTTCCCAAGCATCATTTTCTAGTTCATCGCTAAAATTAAACAAAAAAAAACATATTGCGTTAATTATTATTAAGATTTTTTTTTATTTATAAGGCATTTTATAATTAAAAATCTATCAATGGAGGTACAAATTAAAGGAAAAATTTATACACATGAATGCGGTTTCGGCGCCCGCACCCCGACTCTATCCCCGCACTTGCCCTAGTGATCAATCACTGTACCGTGTTCCCCTTAGAATAATTACATACATACGTATGCATAGCCAACCTACATTTCTCCATAGATTGCGTCAATATACTTGTCTCCATTTTTCTATTTTAATTTTCAAAAAAGAGCAAGACGAATAGAAATGTCAAGTGGTCATCTTTGGTTTCTTTGTACTAATATGAGAGTAAGTACACTCTTATCTTCTGATTTACTAGAAAAATGACATCTCTATTGTAGTAGTATTATATGTGACGTTACTTCATAAGACATGACGTTTTATCAATAGTGATTTCGTTCGCAATGTTAGCAACAATCGATATCGATATACTCGTTTTTGTTTAGTTAGTTTTTTATTACGTTATTATTATATGTCTAAAAATATAAATAAAATGGGATGATCAAGTAAATTGTTTTCTAAATCCAGTGATGACGATTATTATATTATATTGCAAATAGTCACTTCGCAAACTTTAAAAACTTATAGTTAGGGAGATATAGTGATAAAAGTAAAAACTTACTTTTAATAGGTATTACATAATTATAATCCATTGAATAAAAATGATTCTATTCTATTCTATATGAATTCTTGACAGACACGCAGTACGTAAGCGCGTTGGAACCTATTTGTAATTCCAGTTTTATATGCTGATTTACGATCCGTGACGTCTTCATACGACTGTTCTAGATCTTCACACAACAGCGCTACTTACCGGGTCTTATTGTGAGTGTGATGAGTGAGACGAGAAGTGATGAGAGATGAGAGAGTGATGTTTATCAAAATGGGTACAGCCGTTATAACAAGTGATGATCTTTTATAAGTACATGCGGAAATTGATTTTTGTTTACATAGGATTTACCACTTGCTCAACGGAAAAGCAAAACAAAGCTTTATCTCCTTGGATGAAAATAATTCGGTATCATGAAGTTAAGGCAGGATCGTAAACGAAACGTAAACGAAACCACTACCTCCTACCAAATAATACATATTATTACCTAGAAGCACTAAGACCCCATACCAATATTGTAAATCGGTAAAAAAATCAATAAAAAGTATCTACCTGATAACAACACAAAATAATAAAAAAATGTGATTGCCAAACCAACTGCTAAAGAGAGGGAACTATGCCAACTACTTTCTTTCTTTATTAGATTTACCAACAATTGCTAATACTAACACATGAAATTAGTACAATTATTCGAAAGTATTATCAAAAGTGCTATAATTACTTAAAGGTAAACTCCGCATGCATATTACTATAAAATACATAAACTGAAAAAACAATAATTTTTTTTATAGAATAGGGTGACAAACGAGCACACAGTCCACCTGATGGTAAGTGGTTGCTGCGGCCCATACACGTCTACATCTATCATCCATTACAAATCAAAACGCAGATGCGTTGTCACCCATGAGGACTGAGATGGAAAGCCTCGTTTCCAGTAAAAAGAGTCTCCGGTTTTCTACACTCACCATACGAAATGCAGCAGCATTAAGCTACTGTTTCACGCTGGTATTCTGTGAGAGCGTGGCCCTTCCCCGGTCGAGCCGACCCATTCGTGCTACAACTTTACTACTAATATAACTGAAGCATGGCTCTACCAAATTGAAAGTTACATTAAAAAACATCTATTAATCAGAATAGTGTTACATAAACATTAAAAAAACTTAATATTTTACTTTACTAATAAAAAATAAAAATATAAATTTATATTTTTATTTTTTATTATAATGGAATTTCGCAAAGTAACGTCTGATTCTATTGTGGCCGTGGTAGGAAAAGGGAAGATCTCCCGCCGGGCAAGGTGTTCTGCCCGGGGAGCGGCCAACACTCCGAGTAATAGTTCGGAGAAGTTCTATATATACTGTCTATGATTCCGAATGTTAATAGCGCGATTTAGGCTTCGGTGTTTCGGTGTGCTAGTGGCGCGACGACAGCGCCGCTACATCACCCCCTGCTCAGACCGGAGGTCGATAGTGAAGTCTCGTTGTCGACGAATGTGCACTGCCAGTGGATTGCCTTGTAGTCTGCGGTGAGTCGAGAAGAAGGCAAGTAATCTGCGAAAGTGCCGTGAAGCAGAAGCGAGCAGTAAGGCTCAGAACCGTGCCGAACACTGTAGCGCAGAGAGTAGCTTGAAGGAACAGGAAGAATTATTATTCCAATGCTGCGATGAACCTTGTGAAGCTAGATGGCTTGCAGGATATGAAGACTGCAGACGATATCTGCTCGGCAGCGAATGGGTGGGGTATTCTATGACGATGATGAAGCTTGAAGTTTCCGAAGGTTGTTTGGTTGCGTGTTCAGATCACGTCGGGGTCACCACTGTGGCCGTGGTAGGAAAAGGGGAGATCACCCGCCGGGCAAGGTGTTCTGCCCGGGGAGCGGCCAACACTTCGAGTGATAGTTCGGAGAAGTTCTATATATACTGTCTATGATTCGGAATGTTAATAGCGCGATTTAGGCTTCGGTGTGTTTCGGTGTGCTAGTGGCGCGACGACAGCGCCGCTACACTATCAATTATTTTACTTTACGCTTTTAACTTATGGGCGAGTCAAAGTTAATGTCGACTCGATCACTATATCCATTAATAATTTTACAGAATCTGGCATAAGGCGAAGTCTTATTTTGTACCATGTTAAATGTCATGTAGATAAAGAGTTTAGCTTTAAGAATTTTGTTCTTATTCTAGGACTCCTTTATGCTAGTAGGTAATTACTCTGAGGTTTTCCCTCCCTAGTCCTAATGACGTCTTACCTGTCATGCGCCTAATTGCTTTGGTCACGTTGTACGTACATAAAGGGCAACAGCTGTACATGTTAATACATATATAAAACGTACACCCTAACTCGTTTCGAAATAAATGTAGGGGTATAACAAGTTGTTATACCCCTACATTTATTTCGAAACGAGATAAATAATAGAGGTGTTAAGCAAGCCGTGTAGTATATACCGTATGCCGTATTGTTGCTCTTTGCTGAAAGAAAAAATATTTGATACATTATGTATTTTTAAAAGTTAGATGGCGCCGTGCTGAAAGTGTTTGGCTTGCATTTTTTTTTTCGGAAAATACAGAATAAGGGAATGCCAATTCAGGGTGGCGGAACTAGGCAATTATTGTATTTTGATTCTTAATTGAAAGCGATGTATGTCGTCAATGAGCAACAGTATCCTCTCACCCTCAAGTGGATTGTGTGGTTGTTTGTCAACCCTACTTGTATGAAATAAGAATCAATTCAAACTGGACCGTTATCCACTAATTTTTTAATAGTGTTTGATGTAACTAGGTTTTTTCCTTTTTTCAGTTATGTACTGTTTTGAAAGTCAAATTTAAGCAAATATTAATTACAAATTACATTACATAAAAAAATATGAACAGTTATAATAAGATGTTTGAAACATGCATTCTCAAGCGTCCTTCAAGCTGAAATCCTCCCCATTTGAAATTGAATTTTCTTATGTCATGATTTAGTGAAGCATTGTGACAAATAATAACTTCATTAAAAAAAATAACTATAGATTACATTTTTTTAAGTAACGTTTTATGGAATATCATATACTGAGAATGAAACATTACTCCAACGAAACTGCAGTCATTCGTATATTTTAGGAAAGATTGTGGCTTGAAAATTACGTAAAATGAAATAACACTAAAACTCCTAAGTTTTTCGCTATGAACTATGTGTTAAGGTTTAGTGACTAATTGGTGCCTATTACTTGAAAAAAGAAATCAATATAATTTATTGTTGCGCGCCTAAGTTGACGTCATGTACCCGGCACTAGAGCCATCTAGTGTCGGGGACGAGAGCGAGGGGAGCTTTCCAGAAAATGACATCACTAATCTTTCAACCGACAGCGCCATCTAGTGTCGAAATGAAGAACTAAGCTTCTAGAAGCCCGACACTCGAACTTTCGGCGCCTGTCGATTGGCGCGCGTATTTACTTGAATATTCTGGATGTTTCGGTGTAATGTGTATTTAAAGGCGCTGCAGTATGCGATCGAGGAAGTATTGAATTCGGCGAGACAGGCGAAGCTTCGGAGCGAAATAAAGTGAATCAGTGTGTTTAATTATTAGTGTTCTAAGTTTTAATTAGTGTAAAGTGAATTAAAGAGTTAATTTTGGTAATTCAATCGGCAGTTTTTATTGTCACGAACCTCAAGCTCGTAACATTATCATGTACAACTTAGTAGCATAGTAATTTAAAGTTCTACGCATACAAAGCTTCGGCGATGTGCAGTTGTATAATTAAACTTCTAAAAGAAAATTAATAAAAGGCAAAAGAAAGTAATAACGTTACATTTATTATCTTCTAAATGACACATGCATATTCCTATCACATAGAAGCACGGGAATTTATAAAATGAATATTGGATCGGTGTCAATTAATAACTGGTTTTTAAACTCCGTAAACTCTCATATAAGTCCCACTGCTGGGCCCAGGCCTCCCCTTATTTCTGAGAGTTTTTAGGGCAACGAAGTGTCCGCCGCGCTGCCCCAATGCGTGTTGGCGAACTTCACATATCTTCAAAATATTTTTATTCTTATTTCTCAGACATGCGGGTTTCCTTACGATGTTCGCCTTCACCGCTGAGCACGTGGTAAATCACACTTAAAATTGCAATAACATTCTCATGGTGCCGGCATCGAACTCGGTTTGCTCGCGTATTGTGAAATTTACAGCGAGCGCTAATCATCTGAGCTACCACGGCTTAACGTAATAATAAAAACTAAATCACACCAGAAATCACATTTACAAATCACATCTCAGATAAAGAGAATAATACTAATGTTTTTGAGGAGAGGCTGCCAGCTTAAATTTAAGCTAGCATCCCCCCCAAAATAAGGGCTGTCTCTCCAAATGTAAAAAGTCACTACTTGTCACCAATTCCTCACTAAATCATGGCAAAATAAAATTCAGGTCTTTAGGAAGGAGTTCAGCTTGAAGGACGCATTTTTAAAGGAAGACAAAACTACACAGCCAGCACACGTAATTATATATCAACAACAAAAGGAACTTTTTCGCAGATTTTTCAAGTTCACTAAGGTTATGAAAACTGCAAATAATGTTTTATTTAATCCTTTGGTTTTTAAAATCTAATGTTTTATTTAATTCTTTGGTTTTCATAACTGTTACTTGCTTGTATTTTGTGAAATAATTTTATACTAAGTAACTATATGTACATATATTTAAACTCACAGTATATCTTCTTCGATAGCTGCCGCCTTAGGTGGTAAATTATTCTGTAGAAAGGCGCATTCTTCTGCTGTGAGAGTGTGGCCATCTGCGAGATAACCACCTTCGTTGCTTATCCCTCCGTCACTTTCGCCATTCATATCTGCATGAAAAACGCAAATTGATTAATTCTTAGACTGACTGCAAACGAAAGAAATTATCAATTCGGTTGTACTTTCTTTCTTTTCTAACATATCAAATAAAGAATTAAAATAATAATAAATTGGAATATTGTAAAAGTTACGAATGTTATTTTCTCATAGTCTTTAATTCTTTTTAAACTTTGGTAGTAAAATAAAAACCACAAACATTCATTATGAACAATTTTCGTCATCAATAAAACACTCTTTATAGAAAGAGAATGACAAACGAGCACACAGTCCACCTGGTGGTAAGTGGTTGCTGTGGCCTATAGACCGATAAATCTTTTTTCGATTACGGATTAAAATGCAGACGCGCTGTCACCCGTGAGCACTAAGATGGAATGCCTCGTTTCCAGTAAAATAGGTCTCTCCGGTTCTCTACACTCACCATACGAAACACAGCAGCGTCAAGCTGCTATTTTACGCTGTATATTGCTATTTGCCTTAATGTTATTATCGGTTCAGAATACTTCATTCTCGTTTGCAGGCATTTCCACGCAACAGTGTAAAGATTTTTGTGTGATGTTGGCTCTGTATGAGATATAGACTATAAATTAATTCATTATTTCAACATTTTATGCACGATGTGTGATCAGAATCGAAAGTTAATTAAGCGTAATGTGCAAACAAAAAGCACAAAATCATCTTATAACTTTCTGCAGTTTCCCTAATCACAATATTGTGGTAAGTTTTTAAACATTTTGAATTTGTTGACCGCTATTTGTGGGGTCTATTACTATTATTAATCGAATTTCATCTGTTTCAGTTTCATATATTTGGGCTGAGTTAGGTTTTCACCATGAGAATTTTGCTGATTTAAATTTACGTTGATGTTCTGTGAAGAATAACTCTGACAATAACATAACATGTTTACCATATATCAACAAGCGATCCACCCCCGCTTCGCAGGGGTGATTTCTGGATGTCAACAACAGCGCCCCCTACCGGGTACAAATGTGAATCTAAACTATCCAGGTACTCACTCTAACACACACACAAACAAAAAAACACACAAAAATGCATCAAAATTGTTCGAGCCGTTCTCGAGTTTTAGCGAGACTAACGGACAGCAATTGATTTTAATATATAACGAGAAAGAGACAACATGCGTGGAAATATTATGTGCAAAAGCTACAAAAAGTTCAATAATAATAATAATAACGTCCTTCAGACCGAATTTCGGCCACGGCGGCCTGCCTCAACGGAGGCTAGCCATCGGCGCAGGACAGGATTATAGTGCCCAAGTGTATGCGCAAGAACAGGTGCACTCTCTATTCCCTCACTCTCATAATCCGATGGGACGGTAAACCGACACGACCGGAGAGAGATCAGGCGCAGGACCAACGGCTTTACGTGCTTTTCGAGGCACGGGGGTGAGACACTACCAACTTCCTAACTCCGGGCAACTACTGAGAATTTCTTGACGGAAAAACTCAATAATTAATTTTTTGGCCGACCCGGGATTCGAACCCAGAACCTCATGGTCAGCAGTCGCACTACTACAACCACTAGACCAACGAGGTAGTTCAATAATAATGTACAGTTTACCAGAAAATGAAATTACATAACTATATTTATGTAGTTTGATTTTATCCCCGATGCTCCTCTTAATTAAATTCGAGTAATTTTGGTGCAACCTCTCAAGTGTATGGGAATTAACCCAATAGGTTTGCGAGGCTTGAGCCAAATTTACTCGAATTTGCCTTAAAAAAAAATTTAAATTACAAAATACAAAGTTTTGAAATTCCCGAGAAAAAAGTTTTATATGGGCGTCTGCTGTGGCTCTAGTAGTGTACGCACATAGACCCGTGTTTCATTATTTCAAATCCGGAGATAGCATTCTGCCATTGATATAAATGACAAGATATGCCCGTGTGAACAAAAATTGTGCACGGCTTAACCATAGGATAAATCAGCACATCTCTTAAATACTCATGAACCTCCACGGAACAAGTGTTTTCACTTATGATTTTGGTTTTACCCTATTACCTTTAGAAATACTTAAATTAGGGTAAAAAAAAATCAAAATAGCCTTATTTATTGCACCTTATTTTCAATATATTAAAGAACAACATCATTGCAAGATTTGAATATAATTTCACGATTAAAAATCTTGAGTTTTGTGATGAAGAAAACATTCTCATTTTCAAATTATAATAACACTTGATCTCATATGAATAACGAATATGTAATTAAGTAAAAATATACCGTTGTTCAATTTTATTTATTATATTATTTATTAAAGAATAACAACCCCACGACTTATCTAATCGACACGTTAGGTAAGTCGTTTCCGTCTAAGGCTGAAAAAAATTTATTAATGATTTAAAATAATATATATAATATGACAAAAATACATTTCATACGACTGCTATCATAATTAGGAATAGCCTGACGTCAAACCACACCTTGACACAGTCAAATATTGTGATATGAGCATGGGCCAAGTGCTATCGTTACAATTTAATTCCCACATGAATACACGCCGACACTGCGATCAATTTTACTTTCATTCTATAATTCCATTCTATAATTTTCTGGCTCTTTTGAGTAATGTAATAAAAGTCAGTGTTACATGAAGTTCAGTTTTACCCCGAATTATCTAAAACCCAAACACTTGAAGAAACGCCTAAAGCCCTACCTATATTAGTAGATTTACCCTAAAATAATGCAAAAATATCTAAAAGTAGAACCACTGCACGGAAACGTCGTGGTCGCGTTGGTGCTTCATAAACATTTTAGCACCAATGAGTCGGTGCCATTTTGTTTGTTCAATGACCAGGTCCATACACAGTAGTATATTAAGTTTATTGCATTCTTCTCTTGGTAGAGAGTAATTGTGTTCTGTGGTACGTATTGTATTGTTACGCGCTCAAGTCGACGGCACTAGCACCATCTAGTCTCGAACCGAAGAACTAAACTTCTTGAAATTGAAACACGAACTCTCGGTACCTTGCGCGTGTTTACTTGAATATTCTGGATATTTCGCTGCTAATTTATATAAATAGGCGCTGCAAGATGCAATCGAGGCAGATTGGATTTGGCGAAACAAGCGAAGCTTCGGAGCGGAATAAAGTGAATTAGTGTGTTTAATTATTAGTGTTTTAAGTTTTAATTTGTGTAAAGTAAATTAAAGTGTTAATTTAGGTAATTTTATCGGCAATTTTTATTGTCACGAACCTTAAGCTCGTAACAGTATTATATGTATGTGCATGTAAAATCTCTTAATTCTATATTTATAATTAGTAAACTTTTGTTATTAAAATTATTTATAACTTTTTCACCTTGAACTCTATATATTCGTTTTCCACCTGGGGGTGGACAGAGAAAATTCCCTGCGGCATTATGCCGTTGTTTGGTATGCGGTTTGTGTGCAAATAGAGCTTAAATAATAAATAAAATACTGTCAAATCTGTAATTTCCTTTTTAAAGTTTGGCAACACAGATTTTATTTTTAAAAAAATAATGAAAAATGTTACTGTTGGCTTGGCGGCCCCTGGTGTCGGTGTGTGCGTGCGGTGCGCGGGGATCACGGCGCGCGGGCGGCGCGGGGTGCGCGGCGGGCGCGGGCGCGGCGTCGTGCTCGGCGCCCCAGCGCGCGGCACGGAGCGCCACCACGCCGCGCACGCACGGCAAAGACGCGCGCCGTCGAAGCCGCTCGAACGCCGCATGCATGCCCGCCGGGCAGTCCGCGTCCAGCGCTATGCCCGACAGCTGCACACAACAACAAACATCATTTTTTTTAAATTGTGTCTGCGATATTGAAATAACTAGCTTCTATTAACAGATTGTGACGAAACTTAACGAAAGGATACCAGGAGAGATCTAGGCTATATTTTATGTGAAAAACTTAGTTTTTATCGTGAAAAAACGAAAATGAACAAATAAAGTCTTTAACTATCTTAAATTTAAATAACGCCAAATGAATCCTATGCGAGCGAAGCCTGAGTGGATCGCTAGTATAAATAAAGCAGCAGGCGTGGCCAATGTTTAATAAAAGATCTACTGTTAATCTTAAATATGTGTCAAAATCGTCTTGTCATAGACGTAGACTAAATGTAGAGAGGAAGATGTAAGAATACCATTACCGTTACAGTCTATCAGAGGTTCACTCCTAAACATAAACCTCCCCCATACCTTCGTAGGGAGCGTTGCCGCGCTTGAAAGACATGTTGGCAACTACAGTTTTTATTGTGTTGAAGATAGTGCTGCTCGTCTGCTGCTTCATTTCTTTTTGTCGTGTTTTACGACACCCGCGAAATTACAAGGGGTAGTAGTTGTTCTTACATCTTCACTGGTTTCTTTTCCCTGTCGACTTTTACGACACCCTCGTCACGATATGGGGGCTCGGTTCCTAGACTAACTAACTTAATTCTAGGCAGATAAGAAATTCTACCACCTAGTAAATTTCTCTTTATATTTGTAAGTATTTGTAAGCGTAGCCTCTGTTAGTAATCATGTAACTTATGAACAACTTGATCTATTCAAGTCATATTCACACAATATATCATAGCTATGTTAGAATCCGATAGGTGGCGGTATAGTCAAGCTATAAACAAATTCTATATTTCTGAATCGAATAATTGCCTCCTTATCAAGTTGTTCATAAGTTACATGATTAAAAGTACTGAAAAATCCTATATAACAAGGTTGCAAATTATCAAGTATGTTGTAATAATGTTCATAGATAATTATCCGATAATAATATTCAGCGATTACCAAGCATGTATAATATGTAATAAAAATATTTTAATAGTTATAATTCTATTATTTTAAAACAAAAATGCCCTTTGTTTTATAGAATCAACAATTACAAAATTTAAACAAATCAGCATTATTATACCCCATATAAACACGCAGTATACTCGCCTAAACGTGGAGTTGCGAAAAACAGCCCGTTGTAAACTAAACTATACACCCTATAAATTATTGGAAATTTTTATAAAAATTTTTATAATTTTTTTATAAACATTACAATTGGAATGTTTTCTTGCATTGTCTACTGACTTGATTTAAATTGATGCAAGTATTGTCAAAGTGGCGCTAAAAGGATAGCATCTACTAAACACATTGTATCAGTCATTGGGTCAGTGTCATCTTGTTAGAAGTCAGAACTGCCTTTCAATAATGCTATTTTTACAATATTCTACTCGATTCTTAAGAAAAATCGATATCGATTCTTTAGTAATAATTTATAATCATTTATAGTTTTGTTTCGATTAGTACCAGAATAAATTAAAACAGATAATTTAAAGGACGAAATGATCAGTTTTTCGTAATTCTTGTTACTGCTTATTGCTAGAGGCGAATTGAAGATTTAAAACTAGATTAAAAATAAATTTATTCAATCACTTTCACTACAACTAGTTGAGCTGGCTGGCTGTTGTTTAGATTAATTTAAATTTTCAACAATGTAGTCAAAATGAATGTCCTTTTCAAAGTCATCCATAATAATTTTCCTTGTTTTCTCCACCCCTTTTGCCCAAATACCCTTTGTGACACGCTTTCTTGAGTAAACCTTCCATCCTCGTTACTGTGAAAAGTAGTTGGTGTTGTATTGTGCTGCATAGCCTATAAAAGCATAAGATATTTTCATCTCGTGTGTGTTTAAGTAGAGGTAATATGTTTGCATTTGGAACATTTCATATAAGAACTAGCCTTTGATTTGGGCCCAAATCAATTCAATAGCATTATTTTAGCAGTGGTATATTGCTAGTCTTTTGCCCGTACTCTCCTGCTAGTTTATCAATAACGTACAAAAGTTTACGTAGGTTTATTTCGCTTTACTAATTAGTTGTAAGTTGTATTAGCTCTGCTTCCAATAATTTCATGTCCGCTTCCACTCCTTTGTGTTACAGCCATGCCATTAAATCTGCTTTCTTATTCACTTGGGTTGGCGCTTTGTCGATTTGGACAGAATGGTACCGAGCGTTATCCATTAGTATGGTGCTATTCGCAAGAATATTTTGTAAAAAGGTTATAAACCATGGTTTGAATTTTTCTGCATCCATTTCTTCGTGGTATTCTCTTGTACTCTTTAATTGGAAGGCTAATAAACAATTTTCTTTAAATTCTCGGCTTAAATCTGGCGGATCCCGCATGCCAAATTATGAGGCGACCACCTTTTTCTACAGGCACCTTGTCACTGGTAAAAGAGGCCCACCGTTTTGTGATTCACATTCAAAATATTCGTGTAATTTTACCACCAATGTGCAAGCCTGACTGTTTTTAAGGTGCGACTAAAACTACTATGTCCTTTTTTCAACATTGTGATCACTTGCTTAATCAGAATCCAGCATATAATTTGCCAAGGTCAATAGGCAAGTCACAAAATCACAAAAGTACGTACAGGAAGCTCCCGAACGAATGGCGGGAGATTCAATTACGTAGTGTTTTGTTTTTTCAGTGCAGCCTTGGATATGATAGAGTAGGAAATTATTAAAAAAAATTATTTTTTCATGATTTATATAATTTAAGCAATTTTAAAAATAAAATTTAAATAAACAGATAGTGTACCTAAAAAATTAAAGATTCAATTATTTGAATATTTTACCAATTACATTGAATATTTTTGCTGATTATTTGCATAACAATGAATTTTATTCATTCAAATACTACAGTAGATTACATAGCGACATATTAAAACAACGTCAGGCAAAAAAGTTGACTGTGGATTTCTTTATATTTTGCTTTTTTTTATAGATTCCAACTTACATAAGTGATAAGGAACTACACATGTTGTAATTAAATATATATCACTTCATAATTATTGGGATTTATGTAATAGATTATTTTAAATCGTGTGAATACGCTAGTACAAACTTATTTCAGAATGATTATGTAATGTGAAATGTCAACAGGTATTTTTTAGATTTGGTTGAGTATACATGTGCGTTTTTCCATATTTTCATTTTTACAAGAAGAGGGTCATAAGAGCAATCAATTATTTAAACCAAATTAAGTGTCTTTTAGATACATTTAAGGTAATTAATATATTAACCCCTCAATGTATTAACGAAAATGCAATGTGTGTAGATCAATGATTTCAAAAGGAAGGATACGTCCATCTAAATATTTTACTCATAACTTCTTCATACAAGAAAAAGTAGCGCATCTGTCATAACACCACGTAACCAGGGTCGGATTTCATAGTATAACTAACTATCGTATTTGTACGATTATTTCATAGTGTGTAGTATGTAGTATCGTAATAATACTAAGCAAAAATACCTTAATTTTACCTTAAGGTTGACCGACTTGTATTATTATTAGTTCCTTTTACTTTTTAATATTAACCCTACGATATCGAGATTTTTTGTATTGAACATGAGTACTGCGTTTTTTTAAATAAAATTATCATTAGCTCCCTTTCTGGCCAATCAGTGATCCATCGGTGCATTTATGTTGTATCCTTGATACAACTATAATGTGGATAAAAACTATGCTCCAGAAGCATACGGTTCGAAAACAGAATTTCAAAATAAGTATTTCATGAATCAGATTTTGAGTTTCAATTAAGTAGGTATAATTTCTTTTGAACTCTTTTCCTTCCTTATTGAATATAAAATATATTGGGTACCAATATTCAAAATTTATCTTACACTAAGTTCTTTTTAAAAACATAGAACAGAAATAAAAATAAAAAACCGTCAAAAAAATCTTGACGCATGACGCCAAAATCCCGGGGCATAGGAAAAAAAAACATGAAACATCAAAAGTGATATAATTTTTGACAAATAGTATAATTTTATTTTCCATGTACAATATTTTTGAGGGTCTGAATCCAACCCTGATCTAATCTTGGTAATGTAACTAAACTAACTTTAAAATAAAACTTTAAAAATGCGTTTATATGATAATTTTATTGTAACCAAATTAATATAAGGTTATTTACCGATAATACGGTATCTCACGATTTTTTTTAAATCTTTGTATCGTAATTTTTGCATCCTTTTACCACTCAACTAGGCATATATTTTATGGCAGGCAAATCTGTCTGTGCGCGCACCACTGACGACCGATTCGCGTTGTACGCTAGTAATATAGAAGTCAATGGTGTAGGTACATAAAAACAGAAGTGCCTTACCTAGTTACCATTGATTAATTATGTCCTGCTGATTTAATTTCTTATAGGGACGAGCTATCTATCTGTGCTAGAAGAATTGAGGTATTACTAGTACGTAGGTATAGAGAAGACAACTTTGCGGTATACTGTACCGCAACTGTTTAGTGAGTGTCAAACGCCCGCACGGACGAGTCGTGTTCGCTTCGCAAAATAACAACTTCAAAATGCCTGGTTGTGTTCTTAAAAACTGCAGTAAACACTCCACAATATTAAAAATAAGTGATAGTTTAACATTTCATCGCTAAGTAGATATTAAAACCTTTAAAACTCTTTTGATTTAAAGTTTTTCGCGTTGTTACAATGCTCACAAGAATCAGGCTGTCTTTTGCATTTGTAAAATCTATGGGAGTGACTTGTTGCACACTACGTTGAACGATACGCGTAATATGACGTTTTGGTCGCGAGAAAACTAATCCCTAATGACAACTAGCGCTGCATGTTTTAATAGTTTGGTTAGAGGACGTAACTATTATCTTAGCGCTGCAGCGACCTTTAGTTCTAACTCTTGCCAAAATAAAGCAAACTTTTGGTTCGGGGTGTCTGTTCTATACGCTAGTAATATAGTTCAACGGCTAGAACAGAATTATTGTCACAAATGCACAAGGTGCACAAGTACTTCATTTCCTCACTCTCATAGTCAAATAGGACTGCAATCCTACATGACAACGACCAACGATTATACATACTTAACGGGTGTAACAAATCAATTATACCAGTTACCAGTTAGTAATTCTTTCATAAGAAACTAGCAGCGAAACCCGCCGTTTCCCAGGTCAAAATGGATTGCATACTTAATGGGTAAAATCAGTTTTTCTATTTTATATATGCACACAAATCTTTGTACCATTAAATAAATGTATGATGATGTATGAAATCAAAGTGATAAATAAACTTATTAAAATATTTATGAATCAAACTCAAAAGTAGTTTATATAAAAAAAATATGTTTGATTGAATTTGCTGCACTCTTATCGATTTCTCGAAAGCCGTTGTTCTTGTTGTTCTTGTTTTATTTTTATGTGCTGCTTTTTTCTTCTGAGCATTAACTTCACATGAGATTGGGTAAATAATCTTTTACACTTAGAAATTTTTATTTCATTATTTTAATTTATTTTTTAATCACTTATGTTCCTGACGTTCACTTGTTCATTTTCTGACTCCCACTTATACAGGGTTATTTTGTAATAAACGGCCAAATTTGCAGAGAAGATTAGCATAGGCAAATGGTGAAGAAAAATTTATTTAAAAAATCTTAAACATTCTGTTCTTTATATTCTTTAGGTTCAAGATGCTTGGTAATGTATTATTTTAACTGACTATACACATGCATATGCAGTCATGCATATATTCGTAAGGGATGATCGGTAGAAAAACGTTGTTGCCCATAAATCACATACAATTTGGGTTAATTTCAAATGAAAGTAGAAGCCTTATTTACTCGTAGCCTAGCCTTATTTTCAAAAACTGCAATAAGGGTATATTATTTTATATATTGAACTTAAGTTTAAAATTTGGCTACTCTTTGATAAATAACCCTGTTTATTGTCAGCAATAACTAAACAAACCTTTCTAGTCTACACAACTACACTGAAATTCAAAAATTTGTTGAAATTCTGCATGGAATGACTTTATGTATATTCCAGAATAGAATTTTGCAGATTATTCACTCTTCAAGATTAGTTTTTGAGCACTCTGTGTATTAATCATCACTTGAGCGTGGCTGAAATGTGATTGACAAAAAAAGCGTTGACTGCCGCTTGTATACTTTCAGCAATCTAAATTTCTAGTTCCTAGCATTTCTAGACTGCACAACTACACTAAAATTCGAAAAACCGTTGAAACTCTGCATGAATTCAATGTTATGTATATTCCAGAATAGAAATTTCTAGATTTTTTTTCCAATCTGTCTAAAATTATTTTTGAATAATTTTAAACATTAAAATAATCTGGAATATTCTAAAACGATAATAATTATTTTTTAATCATCTTTAGTGTTTGAATATATGACGGAATTCCCTATTTCATTCATGAAATTTTGAGAACACAGCAAGAACTCTTAGATCAATTAAAATTATTTTTAATCAATTTTAAACAAATTTTAGAATATTTTAGGGTTTTTTAAAAAGTTTAAAATGATCAAAAATATTTCAGTTCCGCTACACTCATTTTAAAATGTTGAAACCATCTATTACATTCTAAAGTATCTAAAATTATTTTTAAATAATATTGAACATTGCAATATATCTTAGAACTTTCCCAATCAATTATGAAATATTTAGAATATTCTAGATCAATAACAATTATTTTTAATAATAATTGAATTGTTTGAATATATGATGGAGTTTATTAGATCATTCGTGGAATTTTCAGAACAACTAAGAACATTCTGTTTTTATTCTAAGAAACAGATATTTCTTTTAAAAATTGTAAAATATCCTAGAATATTCTAGGACATTATGGAAAACACTACTTTATATATATATATATATATATATATATATATATATATATATATATATATATATATATAAGATTATATATGCTTTTACAATATTAATAAGATTACAAGTTTGTTTATGGTAAACTAATAAAAATATATTCTATTTCTATGACAACAAAAGTAATTAGTTTTTGAACTTACTTTAAGTAGCTGACACACAGCTTTTATGTTTGTTTCTTTGTCTGTATCTAATAAATGGAGAAGCACTTTGCAGAGACTTTCCCCTAGGGATTTTATTCTTCCACCCTGAAATAATTAAATCATAAATTATAATATACATTCCAGGCAATAATATAAAAAAAGGGAGAAGATATGGTATGTCCAAACACTATGTAATCAAAAATTGTATTGTGTGCACTGTGCACAGAAACACCCAAACAGAATAAGGAAACTTAAAACTATCTTTATAAATAAAAATGTCAATCAAATTGTTTATTCAATTTTAAGCCACTGACTTTAGGCCTGCAGTACTGAATTTAGGCCTCCCCCATAGATTGTCTCATAAAAGAGATATCTACCATAGTTGCCACTCTTGGCAGGTATGTTTATAACCAAAGTATTTTATTATTTTGCATTGTTGTCAGGTAGGTGCTGCTGCCCATTTCCTTTTCCAGTATCCTTCTCCTGCCTTTTACACAGAATGATATGGGCTAGGGGATTTTCTTATGTTACCACTATACAGAATTGTAAATTTAATTCTGGTATAATGTTTTGATTTCTTAATTACATTTATTTACTAATACTGAAAATACAAAATCGAAGTGTACCTGGCTGTCTTCTAGTTGAGTATATATCTCTGCGAGAAACATAGCAAAGCCCCTCATATTTTCCTCAGATGTCTCAATGCCACTAATTATCTTATTCTCTTCAGCAGAACAACGTTCCAAGAGACATTCACGGAATGTAGATTCTTCAGGGGGTGCCACAGAATCATACATTGAACAAAGCCGTGCACCGTTGTAGCGGAAATTAGACTCACCTATTGACTATACACATAATTATTAGAACAATTAAAATAGAAATAACAATTTTAGTTCCAGGGGAACAAGCTCTAGATATGATATACACGTTTATGATATTTTTTTTATTCTTAGAAAAAGGGCATTGTCGCTGAAGCAATAATGATGCCCTGGTACAACAAAATTCTTAAATAGGATAAATACTAACAAATTGTATATATATGTAGTAACAAATTGTATATATTGTAGGCTAATATTTCCAATATGGACCATCGATTTCAAAGCCCATATTTTTTTTGTAGATAGTACTCACTAAAAGAAAGCGTTTTGCAAAGTTTTAGGTTGCGGAAACTTACGGTTCATGAGATATATTTTTTAAACTTTTCATACAAATTGGTAAATAACACGCAATTACAAAATAAATTTGACAAATGATTGATGTCAAACGTCAGTTAGTGTAGGGTTCCGAATATTTTGAAAGTATCGATACCTACTCGATACCAAGTATCGTATCAAAAGTATCAATACTACTTGGTATCGAGTACATTTCGTTAATTTTGGAGACGAAAAATTATGACAAACCAATTAGATGCATAGGAAGAGCTGATAAGTGCAATTACATATGTATATAAAGTAGAATAAAGTTTACTCTATTTAAGTTCCACCTTAGTACTTGTATTTCATTGCTTGCAACTTGTTTGTATTTCTTAATTAGTACAGCTTTTGTACTTTTATTTTATTGTTTGCAACTTTCTATATTATCTAATTCTTACTACAATAAAGTGTTTACTTACTTATTGACTTACTTATTTAAATCCAGAAAGTACCCAAAACCGAATCAGAGCACCCCACTATCCACGTGATCTTGTCTGCCCTACCCCTAGAGTGTATATAAGAGCCCGGAGGCGCGGAGGGAGAGCAGTGCCCGCCCGCCTTCACAGCTTCGGCTTTTTGGTCGCCTTCGGCGACCAGCCTCAGCCGCTACGGCGATCTCGGTGCCTGCGCTTCCCTACGCTAGGGCGGAGGCACTGCTCATACCGCAGCGCCGGAGCTGCCACGGAGCGCCGGAGCACAACTTCCCGGCTTCTTACCCCCCTAGTCTCCAAAATTAACGAAATGTACTCGATACCAAGTAGTATTGATACTTTTGATACGATACTTGGTATCGAGTACGTATCGATACTTTCAAAATATTCGGAACCCTACACTAATTGACGTTTGACATCAATCATTTGTCAAATTTATTTTGTAATTGGTGTAATTGCGTGTTATTTGCCAATTTGTATGAAAAGATTAAAAAGATAATTCTCATGAACCATAAGTGTCCGCAACCTAAAACTATGCAAAACGCTTTTTTTTAGTGAGTACTATCTACAAAAAAAATATGGGCTTTGAAATCGATGGTCCATATTGGAAATATTAACCGAAAAATTATTTAAAAAAAATATAATTTTTTTAATGACTATTTTAAAATTAGAAATTGCAGCTGCTAACCCTATTTAAACAAATTGTTAAAACTTTTAAACTGAATGTCCTATCAAAGTGGAATAAATTTTTAAATGATTGTTAATAATAAGCTGTGCCAATAAAGTAAATAATTCTAAAAAAAGAAACGCCATAAAATTGGAATAAAGAGGTATTTGATGAAAATCTAGTATTTTTTCATCTTTTTTATAATAACTAAAATTTCTCGAAAAATCGTCCTCTTAATCCTACTTTTTTCTAAATCTTATGTTATTCTACATCATATTAGCTTTCTAATGGTAAAAAATGCACGCAACTTTGACAATTAATAAATATTTCATTAAACAATAATAAAAGGTGTTAACATAATGATTTGTTATATTTATATGATCACTACACATTGAATAAAACTATTTTTGTTTTTTAAATTAAAAATAAGTAAAAATAAGTTTAGTAAAATCTGTAAAAATAGTTTTATTCAGTAAGGTGTTAATTTCAGTATTGTAATAAAATGTAATAATTGACTTTATTACCTGGTTAACAATAGCTTCCACAAGAGGTCGAGTGTAATTGACATCATGTAATGTTAATACAAAGGAATCAACTAGTGGGCCGCACAAGGTATCAAACTTGCCAGGTTCAAATGTTATCTCACACATAACATTAATCAGATTGGTAAGGTTTTCCTAAAACATCAATTTAATGGTATAAAATCAAATTATTACATAAATAATAATTATACCATACCATACAAAATCTTAAGAAGAACTAACCCTTAAGTCCATATTTTCAAATTCTTCAAGATAATATGGTATATCATCATAATTGTAAGGATTTACATCCTGCGCCTGACGAAGTCTATCTTGAACCGAGAAACGTTGGGGTCTGTAGGGTGATGGGTCTGTATAAGTCATTGCTTGTGGTACATAATTTGGTGGGTACCACTCTTTTGCATCAGCTGACAGCTTAGATTTTGAAGGTTCGACTGGTAAAAAACAAAGAAATTGGTTGTATTGAAGCATTTAAATGAAATATATTTGTTCAACTAATTTTACAGTAAAATTATACCAAAAGGTTGGTTTTGGATAGCACAATAATCGTAAATCAACTGATATAGATAAATATGTTCCAACTATTGAACTTCAATAAGTATAAATTCACATTCAATATGACAAGTTATTATCTGTCAAAGCACGTCGACGTCACCATAAATGAAAATACCAACTTTCACCTGAAGTCCTATCAGTGAACAAATATATGTGTAGTGAAAGTGTAGATCAAATTATACTCAAGAATGTTACCTTTTGCTTCCTCAACGACGGACTTGGGCCGGCGAAGTTCTTTCGGTTGATTTTCTGGTTGCCAACCACGGCCTCTGCCCCTAGATGCTCCAATATCTCCGTTATTCATTTCAATCAGTGTAATACTTTTTATACTTTGGAAATGTATCAGTAATGTTTTGATTTATTGCCATAAAAGTAAGTTAAATTTTATTCGAAAGTTTAAATGATTGGCGAATTCTGTACGTAAACAAAGACGAATTAGACAAACACAACAAAGCGTATAAAAAGTGTTAATAATATTCAGATACCTACATTCACAAACCTCGAAAACTATATAAAACGCACAAGAAACCAAGTTACCATTATATTATATACTTTCCACAGACCGCGATGCCGCGATGCGTAGTATCATATCCTCATAGTAGTCTGTGGCACCATAGATAAATAAATATGTAGTGTGCCACAGACTGTGAGAGTGAGACTACTTCATAGGACTACTTATAGTTTTCGGATTATTCAAAGTACTCTGTGACTATAGTAGATGATTCTAGTTCTACGCAATTTACCGGTTTATTGATATTTTTATATAGTAAAAGTTAGTTATCTCTATACCGATTTATAAGAAATAAAAGTTTTACGTGGGGATTGAGTAATAATGCAGATGAGGATAAGAAATCGATGTATTTTACACACACATACATATAGAAATTTATAATTATATTACTACAATTATTATATGTATAAAAACAATATAAAATAAACAACGCACAATTATACTATGTAGTAATTAGTTCAGTAAAAAAATAAATGATGACTCCGTAGAGCAGTGGTTAAGCGTTTCGCTGCGGCACTGCAGGACCGATCGACCGATCATTTGTTCCCGCACTGAACAAGGGTTTCTAATTTCTATGCTGTAAAATAAATAGTATGAGTCTAAATTGGTTGTGTTTCGCTTTTTTTTTTTCAAAAAAAAAAGGTAAAAATATTTGTTTTCTTAGTACTCATTGGATTAATTTGCTTTTGAGTGTAACCGATGATTTATTATGATTTTCGAAGTAGTTTAACACAAAAACAGTGTGTTGACCGGATGATTTCTGCATTTGGTGATAAAGCCCCCATCCAAAAACCACAATTTATCGCTGGTTTGCTGAATTTCAACGTGGACGTGTCAAGATCAGTGATGATCCCCGTCAAGGTCGTCCAAAAACTGCAGTCACCCAAGAAAACGTTGATGTTGTACGTAAGCTGATTGAGGAAGATCGACATGTGACATACCGCGAAATTCAGGCAACTTTAGACATTGGCATGAGTCAAATACAAATAATCTTGCATGAACAATTAGGTGCAAAAAAGTTGTTTTCCCGATGGATACCGCATTCGCTCTGTGAAGAGCAAAAAGCGGCTCGCGTTACTTGGTGCGTCAGAACTCTCGAAAAATTCCACCATGGTGTTAAGGGCTCTTTCTATCGAAAAATTCCACGCAGGATCCTCAAATGCTATATACAACATTGTATCAGGTGACGAATCCTGGATATACCTACGCGTACGAACCCGAAACAAAAAACCAGTCACAAGTTTGGATGTTCGAAAATGAGTTAAAGCCAACAAAAATTGTTCGTTCATGGAGTGTTGCAAAAAAATTGGTGGCCACGTTTGTCTCCAAAACCGGCCATGTTACGACTATTCCTCTTGAGGGACAAAGAACGGTTAATGCAGAATGGTATGCTAGCATTTGTTTGCCACAAGTCATTTCTCAACTCCGTAAAGAGAACTGCAACCACCGCATCATCCTCCATCACGACAATGCGAGTTCTCACACCGCACACAGAACAAGAGTTTTCAAGAAAACATAGAATTATTAGGACATCCGCCGTACAGCCCAGATCTAAGCCCTAATGATTTCTATACTTTCCCTAAAATAAAGAATAAATTGCGTGGACAGAGATTTTCATCACCTGAAGAAGCTGTGGACGCCTACAAAACGGCCATTTTGCAGACCCCAACTTCCGAATGGAATGGTTGCTTCAATGATTGGTTCCATGGTATGGAAAAATGTGTCAAATTTCGCGGAGAATACTTCGATAAGCAATAAATACATTTTTAAATAGTAATATTGTGTCACTTCCTTGATTCCCGAAATTTTCAGTGCCGCCCTCGTAAGAGCCGCTCCAGGCGAGGATCGCATAGCTCCAGATGCCATTAAGCAGGCAGTCCTTTGTAGACTATTTAGTCTGTCCGCAGTCGTCTTTTGGTTGGCCTTGTTGCACCAGACAATGGAGGCGTAGGTGTGAATCGGCCTCACTATACTGCTGTACCGCCATAGGACCATAGTGGGACGTAAACCCCAGTTGTTGTGACTGCACGTACCTAAAGCAATTTTTGCCTTATGGCATACGTTGCTAAGGTGAGAGTTCCACGTAAGTTTTTGGTAAAGGGTATTATAACAGTTTTATCACCATTAACTGATAAACTGTTATCCCTACACCAGTTACTTATGGTGTTAAGGGCTCTTTGTATGATTGTAGATAAAAGTACTTTAACAAAAGCCCCTCGCAGTGATCACAAGGTCATCAACATAGCCCTATCATACCAACATAGTGCTATCTTGTACAATATTTCGTCAACCGCAAGAATCCAAAGAAGGGGTGTTAAAACACCTCCTTGTGGGCAGCTTCTTGTAGTTGCGACCTCAATCGAAGTTTGAAACAGCGCTATTTTTGATGGTGGTAGGTTCAACATTTTTGGATGTCAGGCCTCCAATCAGTAGTGATGTGAACCTACTATCGAAGGCGCGCTCAATATCTAGAAAGGCATAAAGAGCTATTTCTTTATCCTTCAGTGCTTTTACGACCCTGTCAATGACACTGATCAGGGCTGTTTCCGTAGATTTGCGACAAGCTCTGCGGTAAGTATTCTGGTTGTAATGTATGGGCCTTGTAGCTAGAGCTACATCCCTTATATATCTATCTATAACCTTTTCCAATGTCTTAAGAAGAAAGGAAGATAGGCTTATGGGTCTAAAGTACTTTAGTAAAGCGTACTCCTTTCTACCAGCCTTAGGTATAATATATAAAATAGAACATTGACAATTGTCCATCGTTCTGGAATATATCCACATGCAAAACTTGCTCTGAAGATTTTCACCAGAAAGGGAATAAGAATATCGATACCTCTCTGTATTTGGATGGCAATTGTTCTATCCTCCCTGCTTGTTTTAAATGGTTTAAAGGAGTCAACAGCCCACTGTACAAGGTTCGGCCTTATTGTGTTTGCAGCCCTACACCAGTCCTCATTACAAGGCCTTCGTAGGGCTCTGAAAGAATTCAAGGCAGAAAACTTTGTGACCCTGGAAAATAAAAAAAAAATTGTGAAGTTACCATCAAACTTTTTAAGAAGCCCGATCTGATTAGGTTTAGCCTTCGATAGCATTTTGAGTAGTCTTGCACTGCGAAGCAAAGACTCAACTTCCTCGCATAGCTTCCTCCACAAATCCACAATGCTCCCCTGGCTTTCCTAATTTCTTTATTATATTCAGTTAAGGCTACACTATAAATATCCCACTCGTTGGTTTTCTTAGCCCAATTAAAAAGTTTCCTAGTCTTTTCCCTAAGTTCTTTTATCTTAGTAGGAACTTTTCGTGTTAAGGTCTTGGTTTGACTGGATAATTATTCTCGAAGGCTTCACGGATACCTACGGTTACTGTCTCCGTCGCTAACTCCAGACCTTCAATCGTTTTGATGCTTTTAGGAAACGTTTCCGAATTCCTCCTTAAGCTATCTCCGTAGATATGCCATGAGGTCGCTTTTTGATTCCTAAAAGCAACGGTTTCATAGGTTGGTGATGCTTCATAAAAAACTTAATGTGTTTGTGATCAGACATCGAGTTTTTACTACTAACATCCCAGTCATTTATCCGCCTGGACATGTTATGGTAGCAAACGTTATGTCTAACACTTCTTGCCTATCACGCGTTACAAAATTTGGCTGGTTGGTATACCCAAGTTTAGGCTTACCAAGCGGTTGGAGATGAGAAAATCATAAAGTAACTCACCTCTTTCGTTGATGTTAGTGCTTCCCCAGGCTGTGTGGTGAGCATTAGCATCACAACCCACCACAAGTTCGGCGTTGTGTTTTCGGGCGAACTCCGCCACTCGCTCCAACTCGATGGTAGGATCTGAGTTCTCTCCGAGAAGATAGGCTGAGCAAATTATCACTCTGGCTGTGAATCCCTTGAGATTTATATAGGCTGTAACCAGTTCATCATTGCAGTACTCTGGAACAGCTAAAAGTTCAATATTTTTATTGTAAATTATACAAGCTCTGGGTCTACTGCCTTAAGTATTGACAAGAATCTTATCGGCAGCCGACAATCCCAGAACTTGACCGTTGGCCACCCAAGGCTCTTGAGGGCGAGGTCAATGTTGTCCTCTGAAAGCATACCTCCACCACGGCATAAGCAGCTGCCGTATGGTGAAGATTTGCCTGGAGGACCCTCGTCTTACCCTTGGAGTTAGCCATTTATAGGCGTGGGGGGCGGGGATCATTTCCGCCTGTTGAGGACGAAGACGTTCTTTGTCGGCGCTTTTGACCCCCGCCTTACCTTTCACTCACTGTACCGCTCTTACCTACCCTCCACTACCCTTGGACGACACCGGCTGAGTCCGTCGGACCGAGATGCCAACGCGCCTTGGGTCTTCGCCACTGTCACTGATGGCGTTCCAGCCGCACCCCGAGAGGTCGAGGGCTGGACGGATTGGAGTTGGGGCGGTTCAAGCTCCATTACCGCGTCAGCCTCCCTTGACTTTAAAAGTTATAATTTTAAGCCAAGGACGACTCTGCCGCCTGCCTTCCAAAGAGCCTCCGCCGATGGGTCGTCCAGAGAAAAGGTTACTAGGAACCTATTCTCCTCGTCCCTACGGTAGAGGATTCTCCAGAGCTCGGTATGCAGCCCTTCATTTTGAGCCCTCAACAGTACAGCCGCCTCCTCTGGAGAGTCAGCTTCGCTGCGGGGCAAATAGGTAATGCCCAGCTGAGGCTTAGGCAGTTCGCCGTCGGGTAATATCGAGAGCTCTGCCTCTGGCCAGTGTTTCAATTTTCCGATTTCACCCACAATCCAATCCTGGCTTGCCTTTTTCAGGCACGTTACCGGAATCAAATCTGGCTTGTGAGTGAAACCCGAAAATTTTGGTCCCATTCCCGGCTGCACCCCACAGGCCGTCTTAGCGATGGCCTGTGTTAGTGCCCAGTGGACCAGCCGCATCTGCTCTATGGTCATAGGATTCGAATTGCGAATTCCCACACGCGCGGAGCCAGCTACGGCACAGAAGCTGAGCTTCTTCTCCCCCGTTGCCAGCTTCACAGACTTTCTTGGCTAATCTTTGGGGGACTCTTCCGACTGCGTTTTTTCGCCTTCGGAACTGGGGGAAGTTTGGCCAGAGGAATTTCGCCCCAGGGCTTCTGGCAGAGAGAGAGGGCCTCTTTGGCTCCTATCGCAGCTGCTATCGGCCTTCGGTACCTCTTCCTTGCTGCCCGACTAAGCTTATAAGGCCTAGCGAACTTTTTCTTTTCCCCTCTCTGGTTCGTTTCCGACTGCGGTTCGGCTGCAGACGTGCTGCTTCACGACTCGTCCCAGGTTGGGGCGTAGTGTTGCAGGGTATTGGTGAGGCTAAAAGAGCCTCTTCCAAACCTACAGATAGTTCCATTAGATTTTTCATTTTTCTTTGCAAAATGTCGATTTTCGTTCATTTGGGTCCCACGAATAGTTAGGGAAATATTAGGTCACCCCCGGTCTACCGGGCTCTAGCTCCGCATACCGAGGGAAGTGCTAAAATACTACCCGAATCGGCCTGGTCTCGGATAGGCCCCGTTTGCGACTCGACTACCTTCAGCCACGTATCCATCGGCACGGTACGCTTGACACCTTGAATTTGGTTAGGATAGCAAAAAGGGGGTGGGATAGAATGAAAGAAGAAGAGGATCGTCTGAGTGTTTCTGTTCTGTCTGTTTCCTATTGAACCAGACCAAATAACAGGCGGCAACGACGTGAAGGAAGAACTCCGCAGACTTGCCCTGGGGATCAATACGACCTGTGCTCTCCCCCAGAGCCATTCGCCAAACTGCTCGCCGGACGGGAAAGCAGTATAGGTGTTAATCTAGTCCTACTGAAAATGTTAAAAAGTTAGGAGTAGACTAACCCCCGCCCCAGATACCATTGCTTCTTTGGGTAATGACTATACACACTCGTTACTTTGAATGCCACAGTGGTCTGGAATTTAAGCCTGAACCACCTATGATCCTTTTTGATGACATTACGAATACTTGGGGCATTTTTAATCTTAAATGTTATATATGGCTTCTAAATATTTAGCGGAAAGGATTTTGCCGAGTTTGTTGCTAGTTCTTCCCTGAGCAAAGGTCTTTCGGAATCAGTGGCGAAAGCATATTAAATAAGTATTCGTGAAATTAATATTGACGTTAAAAATATTATTAATATTAAATTAATGGCATATTGATGTTGGTGCATAAAATAGACAACAAATTTCCCTTCATATTTTTTATTTACTTAACGACTACAGTTTCTAATTACAAAAAATATATCACAGCAACTGTCAACATACAGTAGGTATCTAATCTACAAAACAAATAATATATCACAACGAAACAATAATTTTATTATCTTAAATTAAAGGTACTGAAAAGATATATACGTATGTAATCTAATGTTAGCAAGTATTTAATTACCAAATATGAGCTGTGGGAAAGAACAAAAGAATTGCAACTAATTACATTTTATATACTAAATGATTCTCCACAACCACATGTGCCTTTTATATTTGGGTTGTTAAAAACAAATTCAGCGGAAAGTTTGTCTTCTACATAATCCATTTCAGTTCCTGAAAAGACGAAAAAATATAAAGATGATTATGATATAAGATTTGGTACAAAATGTTAATATCTATACATATAAATAAAATTGCAAGTATTCTTTCAGAAAACCCCAATAGTAGTAATCCAGGGGATTTAGGTCTAGCGCCCAATCCACCTATCTGGATACGCTGTATTAAGGTGCTCTCATACTCTGACAGCATAGTGAGCGGGACAGTCTTTCTGCAGCCACATGACTTGGATTTCAGGAGCGACATTTCCCAAAAGCATAAAAGCAAGTCAATCCGCCAAAAACGGAAAGCCTTGAGTAAAAATGGTTAAAATAATATGTTATAGTAAATTATCTGTTTTATCGAATGTTTAACTGTGAACCACTATTTACGCCACAACTGGTATAAAACAATAAAAAATATAATATGGAATAATCTCAAAAAAAAGGTAAAAACAGAGCTCTCCTAACAACGCACTGAGGCCGGTTTTTTTTATACACATAGTGCGTTAGTACCTCAATGTTGGAAAAATTACGTTACGAATAACGTTAACGTTATCATATATTATAAATAAATGTCTAGGTCAGCCATTCTGACGTGAGGTGTAGGTAAAAAGTAGTGGCGGAAACGGAAAAGTATATCAAAAAATTGGTATTATTTTTATGTGTATTAAACCTTTGTGCTGTATCAATTTTTAGTAAGATTGCATTTTCCTTTCAATTGATTTTGAAATAGTTTCCAACTTAACAATATGGTGGAACCTAATGATTAAATATTTTTCAACCACGCGCCGTATTAAATTTATAATATATTTCTGGTTGCTATTTTAAATCCGCCATTTTGATTGTTTTCTCAAGAGGAACAGTTGCTTCGTACCAATAGTAACATGTGTCCGAGTGCCCTCCACCTATCAATAATAGTTTTCGAAATATTGTATGGCGGTAATCTTTCCGCCGTTTTAATTTTTTTTTTACCGCCAATAGAATTCGACTAAAGTGTAGTTACATAATTTGAAAACAGTATAAATCTAAGTGTTATACTTTCGGCAAGCAGTAGGGTATCTCCCTGATGCGGAGCACATTTTGAACATCTAAAAATTTTCCCATACTCATCTTCATTCACTAATCAAACTCCTATACATCATGTTTACTCCCGCGGCTTCTTCTGCCAGAAATTTTTTTCAGTGAATGAACCAGTCGGTCAGTCAGTGGGTGGGGATGCAGTTTTATATTGCACATACACGTACAACGTAACATTCAAGTAACGTTACGTTGCGTACGCCCATAAATGTGTTAAACTACAATGCTTAATCACGGGAACATTTCAGTTGAGGTTTTGTGTTCCCAGCGGTAACCTAAATTTTTACTTTTATTTATTAAAAATTGGAAACTAATTTTACATGTGAATGTGATTCCATCCTGCTATTTTATTTTACTAAGGGTTGCCAGTACAGGTATAGATCTAAAATTGTCCAATGGGTCCAATGTACTATCTGATTTAAATAAGGGAATAACTTTACTATCATCATCATCATCATTACAGCCCTTCACAAGTCCACTGCTGAACATAGGCCTCCCCCAAGCAATGCCACAAAGCACGGTCCTGAGCCACCTGCATCCATCGACTTCCTGCATGTCTTACCAGGTCGTCAATCCATCTAGTGGGGGGTCGCCCTACACAACGCCTACCGGTACGAGGCTGCCACTCGAGAACCTTTCTTCCCCATCGGTTATCGGTTCTTCGAGCTATATGGCCGGCCCACTGCCACTTCAGCTTACTAATCCGTTGGGCTATGTCGGTCACTCTGGTTTTACTGCGGATATCCTCATTTCTGAGTCTATCACGCAGAGAAACTCCGAGCATAGCCCTCTCCATAGCTCGCTGAGCGACCTTGAGCGTCCTCATACGGCCAGCAGTGAAGGACCATGTCTAAGATCCGTAAGTCATCACTGGCAACACGCACTGGTTGTACACTTTAGTTTTCAGAGATTGAGGTATACCTGACGAGAAGATGTGACGTAATTTCCCGAACACTGCCCAGCCGAGTTGAATCCGTCGATTGACCTCTCGGTCGAAGTTGGACTTATTTAGTCGGACTATTTGTCCCAGGTAAACGTACTCGTCAACAACTTCGAGCATAGTGCTCCCAACAACTACCGGCATAGGTGTGACATGGACATTAAACATGATCTTTGTTTTGTCCATGTTCATCTTAAGACCTATCCAGATTATTTTGGTATGAAAGGGATGGAAGTTTCTTTACTATGTTACTTCTCAACGTCTCCAAGCAACGTGCATTTACTGGAACAAACACAACTTTTTCATCTACTTGCTTTTTTTTTTGAACATAAGGTAACTAATTGTACACAGTGATCATTAGAGCTCAATTTTTCAATTATACATTTATGGAATGGCATAATTTTTAAAAATGTTATTTATACATGTTGTACACGTTGGCTCCAAAACTAAATTAAAAAAGACCAAATGATTTAAACAATGAACTTGATTTAATATTGATGGAGGAAGCTTGACTGAGGTGCTCTAACTCAACACATTACTACAGTTCGCTCGACAGAGAAGCTCATAATAATTTACTAGCTAAAATTAATAAATAATAATAGTAAATAAGTAAATAAATAGTAAACAATTTTTATTATCATTTTGTGGGGGCATACAATTGTACTTATTAAGAATTTGCAAGTTACAAAATAAATTATTTAAATTATTACAACTGCTAAAGATTACCGCTATCATCTCCTTTTCTAATTTAAATTAACCTTATGCTGCTCAATAGGAGCAGGTGTCCGGTTAGTCAAGTCCTTGGCTGAGTTAATATATAAATAATAAGATAGCACATTTGCTGTCTTAAATTATATTTGGATAGGTAATTAATATCTATATGTAGTCAAAAATTTCTTAGTTAAATTATTATATGACTATATTATATTCATTATCCTCTTCCCCTCGGACCGCGTATGCGTTTAGAGGTGTGTTTCTGTGCAAGTTTAAATTTTAAAAATAAATTAATTTAAAGAAATAATTTTTGTTACCAAATTCCGTGCAAGTACCAGGCACTCATAACGCGTTTAGAAGTTGACGGTGCGTCCGTAACTCCGAGAAACGCAGAGCAACGCAACTGCGACAACTACAGTTTGTCTACGCTAATACGGGTGGGTGCTTATCTATCTTCTTCATTCATAACTACAGACATCGCACGTACGTCACTAATCTTTCGCTTGCCAAATTCATAAGCGCTAGCGATTACAGTTAAAATTTTGAGGCTTGGTTTAAGGAAAAAATATATATATATAGATAATTAAACTTCTATTTGATTTAAAGATTGAAAACGTTGCTATATATTAATTCCATGATGGATAAATCTGTATCAGATACGGAAATTAACGTTTTGTCCACTAATAACAAGACTCCACCTAATTATGTATTTCAACGAACCAAGAGGACTAGAGAAGAAATGGCTGATTCTGTTAGTAATCAGTTGGCTGATTTCAAAGAAGAAATTATAAAAATTATGACACTATTTACAACAAAACAAGAAAATGAATTTCAACGAATTAACACTGAATGAAATCCAGCAGACAAATATTAGTATAGAAAGCACGATTGCATTTTTAGCTACTCAAAATTAAGAGTTTAAAAAGAAAATAGATCACTTAGAGAACCAGGTGAAGGAGGATAAGAAGTATATCACAATTTTGGAAAATAAAATTGAGGAAATTCAAATGGGAAACCGGAAAAGTAATATTGAAATAAAAAATGTTCCAAAGAAAACTAATGAAACAAAAGAAGACCTGATTGATATGGTTGTGAGTCTATCACAGAACATTGGTTGTAAGGTTGATAAATTAGATATAAAGGATATATATAGAGTACGTGGAAAAAAAATCTGAAAAACTAAATACACCGATTGTTGTAGAAACTGGTTCTACGATCCTTAAGACTGAAATCTTAAAAATGGGTAAAGCTTTATTAAAAGCTTACTTTTGTTTTTTATATTAATAAAAAACAAAAGTAAGCTGTGTGCTAAGCATCTGGGCTTCAAAGTACAGGAAGACACACCCATCTTTTTATCAGAACACCTTACTTTGAAAGGATCTCGTCTGCACTTCCTTGCCAGAGACCTGGTTAAGACTAAAGCATACAAATTCTGCTGGACTGCATATGGCAAAGTATACGTAAGAAAAGACGAATCTTCTCCTATTGTCACCATTAGAAGCGAGGAACAGGTACACCAACTTCTGTTAGAAAAATGACTAACCCTTTTGTTAAATTTTTTCTTACCTAATCTAAAATTAATTCCCTTTATTTTTTTATTGATGTTAAAATTCTGTTTAATTATTTCAAAGGTTCACTTTTTATTTTTGTCAAAACTAATTAACTTTGCATATGTTACTTACACATCTTGCAGTTACACACACTTTAATAACACTATCATGTATACACTACACATATTAAATACACTATCAAGAAAATAAAATGGAAATGATAACTTAGTTCAGCTTAACGACATAAGTATAAATATAACTACACATATACTAGCAATTCAATCTTACATATTTCGTTCAGTATTAGAGAAGACGTCTATAGTAGGTAGAATACTAAATGAGTGAGACCTTACAAAATATAGAAGAAATAGACAATTTAAATATAGCACGTAATATTGAATGTGATACTTTAGAGTTTGCTACTAATTTCAAAATGATCTCACTATTATCTCACAAAATATAATAAGTATCTATAATAACTTCAATGACTTTTTAATAACTTTATCTAGCTTCGATTTTAAAATAGATGTAATTATTTTAACCGAATGCAGACTAGATAGTAACAAGCCTATCCCACAACTAACTGATTACTCACTACTCTACTCTACTACATACCAGCTAAACCAGAATGATGGGGTTACTGTTTATGTAAATACTTCATTAAAAAAATAAAGTAAAAGAAATAAAACTGGCACAGGCGTCTTGTATTCAAGTAGACATATCAAATAATATATT